AACAGCAGCACGACGACGTGGTGGTGATGGAGTGGCAGTTCTCCGGCAGGGCTTCGCCAAGCTCACGCGGAGGAGGAGAGGTATTCGAGGGGAGGGGCTGCGCCAGGTTCAAGCGTGTGGCCGCCCTCCCACCCCTCCACTATTTATAGGTGGGGAGAGAGGGGGGCGGCCCCCCTAGATCCCATCTAGGGTTGGGGGCGGCGGCCAAGGGGGGAGGAGTGTCTCCCAAGTCAAAGTGCAGGCCCTCCCCCTTAGGGTTTCCCCTCTCCCATGCGCATGGGCCTTGGGGGGGCTGGTGCCCTTGGCCCATTAAGGTTAGGGAGCCCCCCCTACAGCCCATGCTACTGTATTGGACGTGGTGGAACATTTTTCGGACCTCCGGACCCCTCCGGAATCCTCCGGAAGCTTCCCGGTACAATACCGGAAAAATCAAACTTTTCCCGAAAACCGAACAACAACTTTCCATATATAAATCTTTACCTCCGGACCATTCCGGAACTCCTCGTGACGTCCAGGATCTCATCCGGGACTCCGAACAACATTCGGTAATCACATACAAGTCTTCCTAATAACCCTAGCGTCATCGAACCTTAAGTGTGTAGACCCTACGGGTTCGGGAACCATGCAGACATGACCGAGACAACTCTCCGGCCAATAACCAACAGCGGGATATGGATACCCATGTTGGCTCCCACATGTTCCACGATGATCTCATCGGATGAACCACGATGTCGAGGATTCAATCAATCCCGTATTCAATTCCCTTTGTCTATCTACTATGAATTTGTATGGATTTCAAGGCATATGCCCGTGGTCATGGCCACATTCATGGCATAGTTCATAATGACATGGCCAAACTTGGCCCACCCATGGGTGTTATCATGGTGGACAATGTTTGCATAGCAAATATATTTTTTGGAATAAAAACTTACTTTTCCATTTTTCTAGTGCTCGAAATGACTTTTTTGTGAAGTAAGTGCCTGAAATAAGTTATAAAATTGGGTCTTGCCATTTTTCATTCTAATTAGACCACATTGGATGCACACTGCCCAATTTCATGAATTATCTTGTTTTATTTCTATATGTCATCCATTTACTGAATTTCTAGAGATTTATGGGAACTTGGTCAAATTTGAACTCACGGTGTCATGTATCTTGGTCCTGAAAATTGGAAAAAAAAATCATTTTTACCTTTTGAATTGGTGGTGTAGGCACTAGGCACAACCAAAGTTGAAATTCCCAACCATCTGCCATGATTGGTCAACATTGCACGTTTGGCCATAATATAAAAAATCAAAGAAAAATGAAAAAGCCTCAAAAAATGAAATCTTTGTGCATGGAGCCCTTTGGTGTGAACTAGTTACTGGTAAAAAAATCATATACTTGCAGTGAAAAAAGTTTGAAAAAAACTTCACAAAATGGCCTATCTACTATGAACTTGTATGGATTTTAAGGCATATGCCCATGGTCATGGCCACATCCATGGCATAGTTCATAATTACATGTCCAAATTTGGCACACCCATGGTTGTTACCATGGCGGACAATGTTTGCATGGCAATTATATTTTTTTGGAAGAGAAACTTATTTTTCCATTTTCAAGTGTTTTTTCTATGAAGTAAGTGCCAGAAATAAGTTATGAAATTGGGTCTAGCCATTTTTCATCCAAACTAGACCACATTGGATGCACACTGCCCAAGTTTCATGAATTATCTAATTTTATTTCTATCTTTCATCCATTTACTGAATTTCTAGAGATTTATCAGAAATTGGTTAGATTTGAATTACAAGTGTCATGTATCTTAGTCCTGAAAAATGAAAAAAAATCATGTTTAGCTTGTGAATTGGTGGTGTAGGCACTGGGCACTACCAAAATTGAAATTCCCAACCATCTGCTAGGATTCGTCAACCTTGCAAGTTTGACCACATTTTGAAAAAATCAAAGAAAATGAAAAAGCCTCAAAAAATGAAATCCTTGTGCATGGAGCCCTTTTGTGTGAACTAGTTACTGGGAAAAATCATAGACTTGTAGTAAAACAAGTTTGAAAAAAACCTTCACAAAATGGCCTATCTACCATGAAGGTATGGTTTTTCTGTAAAAACCAAAAATAAGCAGAAAGCAACAATCGGTACTGAGCACTGGATTAATATGTTAGTCCATAAAAATAATATAAAGGTGCAACAAAACTATTTTGAACTTATTTAAATATAGCATGAATACTTCATAAATTATTGATCTGTTGGAGACGTGTTTCAGACGTGTTTATAGGAATTGAGATGCATGTTATCTCACTTCCTATGAAGTTTCTATTCCTACAATATTCATATCCTATGAACCAAAGGAGACCTTAGTTTCCCACAATAAGCAAATAACACTTCCGTTTACATATCATGAGAATAATTCTAGACTAGCTGGCCGAATGAGCTCTACTAAAATGGTTTCTTTGATTCGCGGGATTCTAAAAACATATGAATAGAAAAACATAGGATTTTTTGGCGGATGGAAAAACATAGGATTATAATGTAATGCCGTTTGAATCCTGCAAGATTCTCATAAATTTTATTATATCATAGAAAAAAATGAAGAATTATTTCCAAAAGGTTGGAGTGGATTCTAAATTTACTATGAAATGTAGTGCAAAAGAATCCTTAATTAGGAAAAATGCCCACATGATTCAATCATATGAATCAAACAAACAATTTAGGGAAAAATCCTACAGATTATATTCCTCCAAAATTCCTTTGAATTAAAGGCCCATTAGATTTTTTGCGGGAAACAAGCCATTAGTTTTGAGTTATAAAGCTATTCTAAAACGAATATTGTCGATGTTTTTGTTGATTTTACGCAACCTCTTCACGAGTGATCCTAGGCGGCAACTTGATACTACTCGATTAAGAGGTTGAGGGTCTTTCCCACTTTTCTAAAAAAGGTGGCAATGCATGATATGTATGAAATCTGATATGCTTGCTTGAATACTACTCCTTTGTTTTAATAAGTAAGGTTTCAATGGCTTTTTGTCAGCTCATCAGCGCCGTAGAGGAGGTCGGGAAATCTCTTCTGGAGTGCTGGATCTAGTTGTTTCTATTGTTATGCAGGTGATCGTCGAAGGTGTCTTTAGACGGAGTAGATACTGTCGCTTCGTATCTCGTACTCTAGTTCCTGTCGTGACTTACGACTTTAGACCAGCTTCGGCATCCATGGGAAGGCTTGTGAGGTTATGTCACCCTAGGTTTATCTGGTTGTATCTAGGTTGCTCATCCCACCCCCTTCGTTGTCGCCTTCTTCAGGGTGACAATCTATTTTCCAGACCGTTGTTGTCGGTATCTTCTAACTATAATTGGACTTCTCGGCCGCTGCATCAACAAAGTTTCCTTGGCTCTGACAGTGTTTCAATGGTTCGGAGGTGGCATCGAGCTTCCCTCATGATGCGCCGATAGCGAGTTGTAGAGAAGTTTCCCCAATGGCCGATGTGTAATTTGTTAATTTTGTACAAATGGAGTTGTAAGGGTTGGTCAACTTTAATATATGATCTTCGGAAATACTAAAAATCTTGACGTCAAATTTTTAGGCATGGCAAATCTAACATTTTTTATGGCAATGTATATTTGGGTGATTATGACAAATTTAGTTTGAAAGCACGACAATTTTCAGACAAAAATGAACTGTGACAGGCTTGCTATGCTCGCCAACTAAATTTTCCATCCTCGGAGAACATAATTTGCCATAAAAAATATTCTGTTTGTCATGGTTAAAAATTGGCGTCAGATTTGCTGTGGAATCCTTGATCTTTGTTATTCTTGCATAAAAATATAATCCAGGTATCAGTGTACAAAAGCAGGAGTAGTATATATATTTTAAAAAACACTGTATTATTAGATGTTCTTTATAACGGCATAATAGGTAATGTTATGCCCGCAAGAAAAAAAAAGTAATGTTATTCCCTAAAAAAATAGATAATGTTATCGCCGTTTGGCCAGTGCAGGTGAGCCCGCTGACCGTCCGTCCCACAGAAACTCGCAAGAACCAAGGGCAAAAACAGGAAAAAATAACTTCGGTCCCCACATCGCCGCCCACCGCCTGCCTAACGCACCGTGTCGACCGCTCCACCACACGTAGGAGGAAGGGAGCCGGAGAAGCCCAGCCAGCCTCCTCGCCGCCAGCGAGCTGCCGTGCAATGCCGCAATAGGAATCACGAATGTCCCGAAGGTGCCAACCTCCGTCTGCGTCGCGGTATAATCCAATCGAATCCATCCGTTTGTGGGACTTGGGAATTCCATTCATCTTCAGATCAGGTGAGGTTAATAGCCTGGCCCCTGAATTGGGGTGCGGTTCTTGGTTTCGCTCGATCTGATTGGAATCTGCGAGCAATTTTGCTTTCTTTAGTTTGTCGCCTCAATTCTAGGAGTTTAACGCTCCTGTTCGGTAATCCGATTGCACAATGTTGGAATTATTACACTTGTTGTAAATCTTGCAGAGGACACCCAGTTTTGTGGAATATTGGTCATGCTGTTTAATGTCCCAATTTTACCATTTCAGATCTCAGAATTTGCCCTGGTAGACATATGGGATCCCTAGATAATATATTTCTGCGTTGTTCTTATGGAAATGTGGGTTGGATGTTCGATTCATCACAAATAAATAGATGCTGTAAAAATGCCACCTTCATTCCCTGATGTATGTGTCATACACTTGCACGTGTATTCTAATCTAGTTTATTATTTTTCGCAGGTAGAATTTGTCAGGCTGGTGAGTGATTCACTTGAGCTCGTGTTGGAAGAGGCAATTGTCTAGTGACAAAGTCACCACTGCGTCGTCCCAGGTTCATTTGCTCGGTTCTGATGAGAGTGGTGGGTTGCAGACTGGTTTCATTCCACTCCTCTGTGTTCCGATTTCCGAAGCCTGATGGAGAGAAGGACTCTGTCTTCTCTAACATTCCTCTCTGAAGTCTGAACCAGTCTGTAGATAGACCATCATAAAGATTCAGGCTTTGTGCTTATATAATGGAAGAGAGGAGTGTTTTGACCCAGCGTTATGAAATCGGGAGGCAATTAGGACAAGGCACCTTTGCAAAGGTATACTATGCTCGCAATCTAGCAAATGGTCAGTCTGTTGCCATAAAAATACTCGATAAGGACAAGATCTTGAAGGTTGGTCTGGTGGATCAGATAAAGAGGGAGATCTCGATAATGAGAATTGTAAGGCATCCGAATGTTCTGCAGCTTTTTGAGGTAATGGCTACCAGGAGCAAGATTTACTTCGTTCTGGAGTACGCTAAAGGCGGTGAGCTTTTCAACAAATTAGCCAAGGGGAAGCTTAGTGAGGAGGGGGCAAGGACATATTTTCACCAGTTGATCTCTGCTATAGATTATTGCCACAGTAGAGGTGTTTACCATCGTGACTTGAAGCCTGAAAATCTACTAGTGGATGAGTATGGGACCCTTAGGGTCTCTGATTTTGGTTTAAGTGCGCTAACCAAGTCAAAGTGGCGAGATGGTCTGCTCCACACCGCATGTGGAACTCCGGCTTATGTTGCTCCGGAAGTGCTCAGCAGGAAAGGCTACAATGGTGCAAAGGCAGATGTATGGTCTTGTGGAGTGATTCTGTTTGTTCTTGTTGCCGGTTATCTTCCTTTCCATGAAAGAAACCTTATGGAGTTGTATAGAAAGATTGCTAAGGCTGAGTACAGATGCCCTCGTTATTTTTCCACTGACCTGAAGGAGCTCCTTAGTGGGATCCTTGATCCAGATCCTAATACTAGAATGTCCATCGCAAGGATAAAGAGAAGTCCTTGGTATAGGAAGCCGGTTGAGAGAACACCACTGAGAAAAGACAAGACTTATGCGAGCGAAGCTGCTGCGTCTGGCCTTCCATGTCGCAAGAGTTCCGATGGACCGGCGAGCATGAATGCATTTAATATCATTTCCCTCACTCCTGGGTTCGATCTATCTGGTTTGTTCGATGAAAGATATAGCCAAAGGGAGGCACGATTTGCTTCCAATGAGCCGCCAGCAGCTGTATTTGTGAAGCTGGAGGAACTTGCCCAACGCATGAAGCTTAAAGTTACAAAGAAAGACAATGGAGCGATGAAATTGGCCGCGCCGAGGGAAGGAAAGAAGGGTACTCTTGAGTTTGAAGCAGAAATCTATGAGCTCGCGTCGTCTTTTCTCTTAGTCGAGTTGAAGAAGACCAATGGTGACACTATGGAGTACCAGAAACTGTTGAAAGAAGACATTAGGCCGTCACTCAAGGACATTGTTTGGTCATGGCATGGCGATGTTCAGCAGCAGGCACAGCTACCTCAGGATCCACAGTGGCCACCACCGCAGCAGGCACAGCAACCTCAGGATCGACAGTGGCCGCCGCCGCTCCCACCACAGCGGTTAGAACATTTAGCTGCAAATGCCCCACCGCCACAATAATCTAACTGAAATCACTATCGAACACACACATATTTCATGGTGAGACCCAGAACCATATTTGCCTATTAGATTAGTAAATGTGCTTGCAGTTCTCACGTAGATGTCTACCATTGTTGGAAATGAAGGCTCGGCTTTTCCCCATTTCTGTAAAATTGTTTTTGAATATACAGAAATGGTGCCTCTTCAGATTGTTATCGCTGCAGAAAACAGTGATTTGTAATTTTGGGGTATAATGACGGTTGCATTTAAGTTCTGTAGGATTCTCCTATTGGGTTGTTTTATTATTTGAGAAATACATCTCCTTCTGATAATATATGACTGTTGCGATTTGTGAACTGATACTTAAGAAACTATCAGCGTTTGTTAGCATGCTCTGTGGCAACCAGGAGGAAACAGTAAGATGTTGGCCTTTGACTCATGCCCTACCATTTTTCATGAACCATTAACCAGCCAAACAAAATTGGCTAGAGGAAATAAAATGGCAAGAAGGCTTGTTGAAAGGGAAGAACCCGAAACAAAAAAGACGAGGAAGAAAACGCTTCCCCCTCCCTTCCCGAGGCGCTCCCGAGGGCGTCCCCAGGAGGAAACCCTAGCGTTGCCTCTCCGCCCCCCTCCCTCGCCGCGCCGGGGGCGTCGCCGGCCTAAGGCCGCGTGGCGTTGGCGGCGGCGGGGCGGCTCCCTCCCGTGCGTAGCTGGTGGCATCGCCCCCTTTTCTTGGTGGCGTCGGGTCGGCCCTGCTCCGGCCCTCTCCCTCCTACCGGCATCATGTGGCTGCCGGCGCCGCCTCCTCCCCTCCCTCCAGCGCGTCTCGGGGCTCCAGTACCTAGGGGTCGACTGGCGGCGGATCTGGCCTCCTGCTCTGTCCTGGATGGTGGTGGTTGGCGGGGGCAACGGATCTGGGCATCCCTGCCCAAATCCGGTGGATGGTGATGGTAGGCGATGGCAGGGGTGGCCGGCGGCCCTGATGTGGTGGTGGTGATGCTGCTGGTGTTCTCGCTGCTCCGGTGCAAAGTGGCGTTGCTCCGGACGGATCTAGCCAGGGCGTGGAGGCATTGGTGCTGTGGTGGTGGCAGATCAGTTGTGTCGGCGGTTGGCTTCTTCCAGCATCGGCCCGTTTGTAGGCGCAGCGGTTCATGTCGGCCTTCGACCCTTTTCCTCGTCGCCTGTGTGCTACTTTCATCAAAGGGTCGGCCATCTCCCGGCTGCGGTCCATCGCTCGTCTCGCATCTAGTAGCAGGACTGACCTTGCCTCGTGTCTGGTAGCAGGACCGAGCTCGTCTCGCACCCGACAGCAAGACCATGCTCGTCTCACGCCCGATGCCGCAGGACGGGTCGATGGAGGCTAGTTTCAGCCGGCCTACTGGGTCTCGACACCGGGGGGCGCCTAGGGGTGCGAAAAAGGCGGGTCCTTTTCCCTCGTATCATATGCGGCTTCAATTGTTCGCGATGGCATGTTCAAGGCTGTCACCCTGGCCGCTCTTGCAGTGCTAGGGATGGTGTTGCTGCGCTCAACGCCTATGTGTGTTGTGGGTGCATGCGTTTGTACCAGGACAAGAATTGTAAAGTTTCATATGATGCTACTATTCATGTATTTCATTCAAAGAATGGAGAAGAGAAAAATGTAGAATTTTTTCCTTTAGTGTCACTTTCAAAAAAAACCATAGAAATTTTAATATCCACTTGGCCCTCCTTTTCAAATTCAAGGAAAGCCTTTTTCAGTAATAAAATGGCAAGATCTGTGCAAGGATTGTGAGGCGCTGGCAAGATTACACAGGCAACAAGAATTTGGCAAACAAGCAAGCGAAAGCCAAAGTATTATAGCACTATTGGTAGGGCAAATTTGGGCACCAACAGATCAAGCCATTTCTTGTGACAATGGCTGTCATATATGCCCGGTGCAACTAGTTTAAATGCATTTAACCATGCAGACCAGACATAATCAGAGACTAAATAGCACTAGGTCAGACAGTACATTACATGAATAAATAGTACCATCAATTTAAACCTCACTGATAAAAATCAAGATAGGAAGTACATCAACAGACAGCTCGGCCACACATGCAGAGTTTCAGCAAAGCCTCTCCAGGAATTCAGAGAAAGCGGAGAACAGATCAGGACAACGCATGCCACAATCAGCTTGTCCAACGCCAATCCATGTTGTGATTAGATGATGCGAACAACGCCATCCCTTATCATTATCCTGTTTGCATCTTGCATCCTCTGAAAAACGCAGAGAAATGAATTTTAATATACCAGATCTAAAGAAGCAAAGTGTATAGGTATCTCACTGAAGAAAACCCTGAATGAAACCATACCTCCAGGATGAACTCTACTTGGCCCCTAGTGTAAGCAACAGCTGCATCTCTGTTGACTGTTTGCTCAACTTCATCAATGGACATTTGATCAACATGGTTTGCCAGCACATGCTGTCCAAGAATCGCCTCAAATGCTTCCATTCTGCACATTACAAATTCACAAGGGAAACAAAACAATTCAGCCACAAAGAAGAATCAAACAAGAAGGTTCAAATTTTGTAAATTTCAGGCAAAGCAGTGACCTCTGTGAAGAAACATCCTGATCATTTGATGCATTGCCTGAGCCTCCATCCACATCCATTGGGTCGTCAGAGCTGGGAAGAGGAAGAGTACAGAAAAAACACATGAGGATATAGTATTTAAGATTGCAAACAATTATTTGTGATCTTTTCAATTTGCAGCAAAACAGTAAATTGTTTTCATGAGCTTGCACGCCTAGCTAAATGTGTTATATGTGGGAAGTGCAGTGTTTTGGCATACCAATTTGTGTGAAGACAATGGTTAGCCATGATTGTTTACTGCTTCTGAGTATTCAATAAAGCTCTCTTTATCAAAAAGTAGAGTACTTCAGTGAAAACTATAGCTCTGTAAAGTGGAGTTCATGTTCTATCTTCTATGTTCTGATTGGATTGCATGTCAACGAAAAAAAATCCTAATAGGCAGCATCTCTTATCTCCATTTAACATAAAGGGGATGGATGGAGTTAAATTCTCTAACAAAATAACTCATTCTCAGGACAACAGTTAAATAGAGACAGGCTATTTTCTGGGAAAGACCAACCAAGAGGGGCCATTTCAATGTTAAAAAGGATGACTTAGTTCTTAATTAATAAGTCTCAACTTTTGTACTAAAGTTGAGACACTTATTTTGGGATGGAGGGAGTAGAACACTTGACACTGCATAAAGCTGTAAACTCACCTTCCATGCACGTCTGCATTGCCACCGCTTGCACCTCCGGGCCCATCTACATTATCACCACCTGCACCTGCATCTTGTTCAGTTTGTTGTTTTTCAGTCTCCCTCTGCTCACGGTCTTCCATGTCAGTCAATTCCTTATGGAATATTGCAAAATTCAGAACTTGCAGTGCAGCCTCAACATCAGTTTTAAGAACCTGCAACAAGATACATGTGATGTCATTATAGTTTTTCAAGGAAAAATATCCTGTGCCTGCTATCCTTCAAAATAATGAATGAAGCTATTTCCAAAAATAGAACGGTAGCATAATTTTATAAACAAGCATCACAAGCACTTGCTTGTCTAGATAGTTGTTGCAGGTAACTTGCTTTGGTAATTGGATCTGTATGGAGCAAAATACCTCATGTCTCAGTTTCATCTTTGCATGGGCAGTAGATAGACGAATTATTGTTTCCAGTGTCCTCGCAGTAATTGGAAGGGTACCTCCACCAGCCTATAAAAACATAAGTATGAGGCAATGACAACTATAAACACATACCATAAACAAGAAAGGACCCATGCTCACCTTTGCATTTGCACTACCATCTCTGAGCTCAGCATATGTAGTTGCAATGTGGTCAGATGCCTGGAAGAGCACAAAACATTTAGATTCTATAGCTAATGAATCATTTTTCTACACATTATTGTTTTCCTTATATCCTATGGCAGGCGACTCTCCAGATTTCAAAATATAAGGCACAGTTGACTTAACAGTTTCCAATGCAGGACATTGACTAAAATTTAACTTATAAAATGCTTAAGAAATAAGTGAAAAACCGACACTCAAAGTGTTTTGCAGGATAAATAGAACAATACCCATTCTTACATGCTAAATCCTTACGCTTTCATAAATACCATAAACTTACATTCCTTATCTTATGGAATGATGGGTGTATTATGTTAACACATGAAAAAATTGTTCACATGCAATGTTAAAGGCTACTGACAATGCCAAAAACAGAAAGTAGTATTCTACACAGCATAATTGTAATCAGAGATTGTACTCAATGATGGAGGCAGTGGGTACTACTACTAGTTATACACATTAGTAAAACAAATGGAGCTGATAGACTAGAAGAATATCTCATCTCATATGCAAAGTTACCTCATCAGTGAGCCTAGGCTGAATAAGGTTCTTCGCATAATGTATATATTTCTTCAGGAATTTGATAGTCAGCCTGTCCTGTTTGGCCTTCTTGCCCCGCCTTCTATCCTGCCCATGGAGCATTCTATCATATTTAACAAATATGGCTGCATTGGCATCACCATCTTCTTCTTCAGCATATCCTGCTTTATCAAAAGACCTTGCTCCTGCAGTTAACAGTTTATTTTATTCAATTAAGCACTTGGAAAGAAATGGAATCCCCTGAAATAAATCTCATTGCCGTGTAAACCACAAAATTACCTCCATCATCAGCACAGTATCTATGCATCCGTGCAACATGTTCTGAAATCTGGCGATCGATCTCAGCATCCATTTGATCCAGAACAATAAAAAGCAAATCAAAACGAGAGAGCAGTGAATCTGGAAGCCCAATGTTCTTTGTTGGTGTTATTGAACGATCATACTGTTATGCCACCAGAAATTATCATCAGAAACATAAATTTTACCAGTAGAATGCCATTAACAGCACAGAAAAGAAACTGCAAGAACTTACAGATCCATATATTGGATTTGCTGCAGCAATTACACTACATCTTGCATTTAGCGATGCATGTATTCCTGCCTT